AAAACTGAACAAAACTGAAACTAAATTATTAAAACTAAACTTGCGGGACTTTATTTATGTCCTGTGGCAAAATTATTTTTATTATACTTTAAGTTATCTGCTTGAAGTAGGCTAGGTCACATTTATCAATGGTAAGTTTTAGTCTAAGTTTACATCAATAACAATGTGCATTGTCCTTTACCATACAAAAAAGGAAGAAAAAAAAACATTATTATACACCATAGTAGCCGCAAATCTTTTTAAATGCATTAAAAAGCAGGCACACATCTTAGCCTTACCTTGAGTTTGTTCACATTCTGCCTGTATTAACATACATGCTGTATTTTATTATAGTTCATTTTGATGAATTAGGTCTAACTGACAGCTTTTTCTTCTTTTTTCGCGGTTATGCGGCATTATATTTCACACGCATATGCAAGGTGACTGAAATTGAAATTAAAATACCAAACATACTGAGCCATTAATTAAAAAACAAAACAACAGTTATATATTCTTTAAAGGAGAAAATTGACGTTTTGAAAAAAAAAAAACTGAACTGAAACTAAATTATTAAAAATAAACCTGTGAGACTTATGTTATGTCCTGCGGCAAAATTAGTTTTATTATACTTTCAGTGATCTCCTTAAGGTAGGTCAATTTATTTATTTATTTATTTGCTTTTGATGAAGCAGCATTCAACTTAAGCTCTTTAGACCATGCCCCTGACCGTTTCTCAGTGTTTCGCCGCAATATCTTTAAATAAATTATTTATTTAGGCCTATTTTCATTATTAATTAGTTTTCATTATTCGTTTATTATTATGTGCAATTGTTGAGACATAAAATAAGATAGTCAAATATAATCAACAACGAAAATTAAAACAAAAACAGAAATAAAAACATAAATGAAAATGTCTTGTCTTAGTCCTATCAAAATAGCAAACACTGAACATCTCTCTATATTTAGGCTAAAAGACTGCTTTATTTATTTATTTAAGACTACTCATTTGTACTGAATGTTTGTGCTTTCATGTTAGTTGTCTTTTATTTCTTCAATTCTATTTTCCAAAACTAGTCCTCTTTGCACTTAAAAAGTTTACAATAAAGTGTGTTAACAAATTTTAAATGATTAATGAAGGAATTATAATGCTTTGACTTATTGTTTAATCTCATTTACAAGCACAGAAGCATATTTAAAGCTGCTGTAAAGGCTATTTCTGTCCGTTCGCATCCCGTCCCTTTGCGCCCCCTGGCGGCTCATTCACAAGCTGCGGTCATATACTAAAAACAGAGCGGCAGTTATTTCAAACGGCGGCGGTATAAGGCGCGGCGGTAATAGTCACTTTGAACTCTCACCTACTGTATGTCAAGGTGTTACTAATATTAATTAGTATTCTTACCTGTTATTAATTCTTTAAATTAATTAAGTTGTAAATTCTGACAAATTTATTTTATTGTTTTGGCAGCAAACAAATATAAAACAGAAAATGTATAACAAAATTAAGAAATCAGCAGATATAAATATCATCTTGCATATTACTGAGAGCCCCAGGTCTGCACAGCAAGGCTGCAGTCAAACTAACGTTTAAGCATGCAAAATTCTGTCATATGGCTCTACGAAAAGGAGTGGGATTAAACAAAATATTTAGAGATTGAAAAAGCAAGCAACTGGTCCATAATTTTTGTTCAGAGAGGTCATGGTTTGATCTTTGATTAGTCTCAAGCAATCCCATGATGTGATTTCGCATTTCAGAGTTCTCCAAGCTTGAACTCTTCAATGCTGCAAACTGTAAAATTTTTCGCACGAGTTTGCATTCCAGGTCTGCAGCATTCACATGCGTATGAATGGAAGTCTATAGGGAGAAAAGTGCAGTGTGACCGGGACTTTAAGCTGTAACTCTAATTAAACACACCTGATAAAACTAATTAAGGCTTGTTAGAAATCTACAGGTAATGTTGAAACAGGGTGGGAACTAAACTCTGCTGCCCTGCAGTTCTCCAGTAACTTGAAGTTTGACCCCCATGGTATATAGCAGGGGTGCTCAATCCTGTTCCTGGAGATCTACGTTCCTGCAGATTTCAGTTGCTACCCATATCAAACACACCTGCCTGTAATTATAACGTGGTGTTCAGGTCCTAATTAATTGGTTTAGGTGTGTTTGATATGGATAGCAACTAAAATCTGCAGGAAGGTAGATCTCCAGGAACAGGATTAAGCACCCCTGGTATATAGCATACTTTTAAAGCAACTGCTAACATTTATCACAATCACATATCCAATAAACACACACACACACACACACACACACACACACACACACACACACACACACACACACACACACACACACACAAAGTGCTGCAGTGAAATGTGTTACTCTCTCCTCAATGCTGACCATGCAAAAAAAAAAAAAAAAAAAAAAAAACTGAACAGCAAAAAACACAAAATAATTATTTTAAATTTTAAAGTTTTAAATAATTAAAAGCTCTGTCAAATCTCAAAAAGTTTAAAATAATTATAGAAAACAAAAATAAAGTTGGCAACACCGAAAAACCAAAGGATCCAATCTTTTATTGTTATAATTATCTCATGACAACAAACTTTTTTATTGTTTCTAATATAAATTCATAGATGGAAACACAGCTCTGAAAAATACTTAGTAACAAACTCACAACCTGGGACCGGACAGGGGAGCTTTTGTGTGTGGATGGTTATGTGTATCATGTTTTGTGATTCCCTGTGATGATGTGCACATGTTACCTTACTGAGATGATGGAATTTAATTTTGGCTTAGTTGCCAGAAAGATACATACAACTGTTAGCATCTGTACATTATGACAGTATGCAATATCCAATAAATACATATACTTAAACAAAAGTAATGTAAGAAGTTATATGAGGTGAGGCTAACTAGCTAACAATGTAGCTTTCAAGTACACAGTTCAAGATAACAACAATGTAGCTTTCAAGTACACAGTTCAAGATAACAACAATATAACTTAAAACACAGCCTTATTTTATAAACCCTCAAAAACATTTGAACACATTTTACTTACTCATTTTAGATTCTTATTTAAAGCCTAAAACATATCAGACTCAACATCTGAATTGATAGACAGAGAATAGAGCACACTCAGCAGTAAACAAATCAAACACCTGGCTCTCTTAAAGGGCCAGCATTTTCTGAAAACTCTTTCTAACACCTTTGTGTTTAGAATAAGACGGACAGCCTGTGGGAGTGTGTGGTGATGCCTAAATCATTGTTTTTTACAGTTATTTACTGCACAATCTACAGAGTAACAGTGCAGTTATACTAATTAAACACACCTGATCAAACTAAATCTAAAGGTAGTGTGTTGAAGCAGGGCTGGAACTAAAATCTAGGCTGTGGCCTTCCAGGAGTTTGACACCCCTAGTACATAGCATATTTTCGAAGCAACTGCCTACATTTATCACAGTTATGCACATATCGTTTAATAAAAACAATAAAAATATACTATAATATAAACTTCATCCATAGGAAAAAAAAAAATAAATAAATAATCCGATTCTTATGTCGTTCCAAATCTGTAGTAATAATAAAAAACACAACAAATATCATGATTTATACATTTATTTAGGAAAGCCTTTATACTGTTAATGGCACTTTTACTTGCCAGTTTTCCAGACAAATTCATTGAGTCCCTGCAAAAATGTATGTGCGTGTTGTTTAAGATATATATATATATATATATATATATATTTATTTTTTTTTTTTTTAAATAACACATTTTTACTAGTTATTTAGCAAAATACTAATATTCAGTTGAAAGTGCAATTTAAAATCTTAACTATAGGTCAAACTAGGCAATTAAATTAGATTAATTATAGAAAAAGTAAACAAAGTTATAAAAATTATTGTGACAATTTCTTTGCTCTGTGTGAATATTTTTGCCTTTAAATGCATTTCGTCCATATCTTACACTTACCTTTTAATAAGCTCTGTGGCATTGGTTGACTCTTGATACTCAATGTTAAAAACATAAAAGGAACCAAAGAAAACACGGAGATAAAATAAATATAAAATAGCAACATAAAGCATCAGAGTAGATAGGGCAGTAATGGTTGAACAGTAATTTACCATTTATTATCACAGTAAATATCTGTAATGGTACATAGAGTAAATTACTGTAATTTATTCTTTGCACTACAGAATTTCATACAAATCCTGCTCCTTTTACAGTAAAATACTGTTTCTTTTCATTACAGCTTAACACTGGCTATTTTACAGTTATTTACTTCATAATCTACAGTAAGGGTTAACAGTGTAGTCATCAAATACAAAAAAATAAATGACTACAAATGCAACAGTCTCATTCTGAAAACGTTGTCATATATACATTACTGGAGATCGCAAATTACGTAGCCAGAGCTACACTTAAAAACACTTACACTTTAAAATGAATGCTGCAGGGCGAGAGGACGGTTTTCCTTTTTGCGCTACTAGCTGACCACTTACCTCTGTGTGGACGACTTTTCCGCTGTTATCAGTTTGCCCAGTGGCTCGCCGCGTATATCGGCGGACTCATGGAGCGCAGTTGACTGCAATGACGAGATTTGAGTCTGGTGAAGAATGATTCTACAATCAGGTAAATCTGGTGGATTTATGCAAGAACAGTGTGGATGAATAGCATTCGCAAGAGAAATTTGAGAAATTTGCCGCTCTTCAGAGATGTATGTAGGGGTACGTTTTCAGAATGAGTCTGGGTTGCTCACGAATTAGACACTAGACCAGGGATAAGCAAACTTGATCCTCGAGGGCCGGTGTCCCTGCAGAGTTTTGTTCCAACACTAGTCAAACACACCTGAACATGCTAATCAGTGTCTTTAAGATCACAAGAAATCTATAAGCAGGTGTGTTTGATTAGGGTTGGAGCTAAACTGTGCAGGACACCGGCCCTCCAGGACCGAGTTTACCCACCCCTGCACTAGACTGACAATATGTAACTTAACACTTGGTCACTTTTTTTGTGTTACGTCAGGGTACTATGAGACAGTGGACGAGTTCAATGGTGACTATTCTGGAGACTTTGAAGATTATTCCATTAACAGTTCCAGTTTTCCCGATGAACTTCCTGGAGGTAAAAAAAAATCCTCACATAAAGGAGCAGTTTTCACATGATGTAGGATCTTCACCACAGTATAATAATAATCCAATAGGTTGTATCCACACAGACTTTCAATTTTCAGTCAGCCAGCCCACGCTCCTCTGATGAACGTCTTTTAATTACAAAATCACCACTTTTAAAACCTGATTTCTTTAAATATCAATGATCTTCACCTGATTTATATAAAGTATGTCTCAGACTGAACAAGAAGCACTGCATTAAACTCAATTTTTCCCCAGCATGTCTTTAAAATATGAAACCCAGATATTTTTTTATGGAGTTTCTGAGCTAGTCTGCGGCTAATGACGGCTCTAGCGTTTATATGAACTTTCAACTCAGTTTTATGGTTCAACAACTAAATGAATGCTTAAAGGTGATGTAAAATGATAATTTTCATAACTTAATCAAATATTTGCATACTGACCTCTGGGAAAACTCCTGATCATAGATATATGCATATACAGTTGAAGTCAGTTATTAGTCCCTCTTTAATTTTTTTTCTTTTTTAATTAATTCCCAAATGGTGTTGAACGGAGCAATGAAATTGTCAGAGTATATCTGTTTAGGCTTTTTTTCTTCAGGAGAAAGTCTTATTTGTTTTATTTTGGCTAGAATAAAAGCAGTTTTGATTTTTTTATGAACCATTTTAAGGTCAATATTATTAGCCCCTTTAAACAATTTTTTTCCAGACAGTCTAAAGAACAAACCACCGTATACAATAACTTGCCTAATTACCCTAACCCTCCTAGTTAACCTAATTAAGCCTTTAAATGTCACTTTAAGCTGTATAGAAGTGCCTTGAAAAATATCTAGTCAAATATTATTTACTGTCATCATGGCAAAGATAAAATAAATCAGTTATTAGAGATGAGTTAGTAAAACTATTATTATTAGATATGTTTTGAAAAAAAGTCTTTTCTCCATTAAACAGAAATTGGGGGGGGGGGGGGGGAAGTAAACAGCGGGGCTAATAATTCTGACTTCAACTGTATGTGTGTATATCACTGACTACAGATGGCCAGTATTTCACTGCACCTTGGTCCTACATTCATTTCAAAGGAGCGCTACCCTGTACTAAAATGGCAGCTCTATTGACGCATTCTTTCCAATAGACAACAATAGCGTAGGCAACATCTAAACCTTTGTTGAAATCTTTTGCTAACCTCAGTACTTAAATTTGTCTGGTGATGCTATGACAATATTTACAACTGATTTATTGTGTTTAATTACAGATGATATAATTGCAGGAATCGATGATTTCATTACAGAAATTATTGAAGTGCAGTCGTGTAACAGCTCTGATCTAGACGGAGTGAAATGCAACATTACACGGATTTCATACAACATCTCAGATCAGGCTGTTGAGTTCCTGAAAGGCCCGCTGGTCACTCGCTTCATGCCGTCCTTCTTCATCATCATCATCCTCCTCAGTTTGCCTCTGAACGCTTTGGCTTTGGTGACGTTCACCTGCAGGATCAGAGAAAAGAAACCAGCTGTGATCTACATGTCTCACCTGGCGTGTGTGGATCTGCTCTTCGCCCTGCTGCTGCCTCTGAAGATCCACTACCAGCTGAACGCTTCTGATTGGCTGTTTGGTGAGGCGGCGTGTCGTGTGCTCACTGCAGCTTATTACTGCTACATGTACTGCTCCATACTGCTGATGATGTGCATGAGTGTGGACAGACTGCTGGCCGTGGTGTTTCCAGTCGCCTCTTTAACCTGGAGAAATGCGAGGAAAGCCTCGTTCATATGCGCATTAGTCTGGCTGCTGGCGCTCGCTGGTACTGTGCCACTACTCTGCATAACTCAGACATTCAGGATTAAGGATGTGGGCGTCACTTGCCATAATGTGCTGTATAACACACAGCTGTATGCATATCTGTTATCCTCCCTCTCCTGCCTGTATTTCTTCTTGCCGCTGGTTGTTGTTTTAGTGAGCTACTCCAGAATCATATATGTGCTCAATGCAAAGTCTGATCATTTAGCAGCTTCATCTTCATCCAACAAAAGGAGAGCTGTGATCATGACTGTTTTTGTGCTGATTGAGTTTGTGGTGTGTTTTGCTCCAACTAATGTCATCTTGTTGCATCACTGTGTTCGATTAGCTACTGAAGGCAGCGCTGAGGGGGGAAAATACTACATGTTGGCTGTGTGTTTGGGCAGCGCAAGTGTTTTTCTGGATCCTCTGCTGTACTATTATGGCTCGTCTCAGTTTAGACAGAAAATTGGTTCTCTGTTTTGCTGGGGGAAGACAAAAAGTGGAAGCACAAATAGTAAAACAAAATCCTCACGTTAGCTGTGAGTACGCTCAGGCTTAAGTTGCGATGTGAACATATAGTATATTCAGCTGCCCTTTACTGATTTCTAATTTGTTTGCATGCTTGTCACACTGTAATATTTCTGATCATCAAACAATTTTAAAAATTAATCAAAGAAAACACAAGTAAACACATCATGCAGTTTTGAAATAAAGGTTTTTATTCATTCATTTTTATTTGCTTTTCCGGGGCCAGGTTGTGGGGGCAGCAGTCTTAGCAGAGAACCCCAGACTTCCCTCCCGTGAGATACTTTCCCCAGCTCCTCCGGGAGGGTCCTGAGGCATTCTCAGGCCAGCCGAGAGACATAGTCCCTCCAGCATGTCCTGGGTCTTCCTTGAGGCCTCCTCCCAGTGGGACATGCCTGGAACACTTCCCTAGGTAGGCGTCCTGGAGGCATCCAAAACAGATGCCAGATCCACCTCAGCTGACTTCTCTCAATGTGGAGGAGCAGCAGCTCAACTCCGAGCTCCTCCCAGGTGACAGAGCTCCTCACCCTATCTATAAGGGTGCGCCCTGCCACCCTGCGAAGAAAACTAATTTCTGCCACTTGAATGTGAGATCTTGTCCTTTCAGTCATGACCCAAGGCTCTTTACCACAATGGACTGATACATTGATTACATTACTGCTGCCGCTGCACCGATCAGCATGTCAATTTCATGCTCCACCCTTCCCTCACCAAAACAAAACTCCAAGATACTTGAACTCCTTCACCTGGGGAAAGGACTTCCCTCCAACCCGGAGATGGCACCATCTTTTTCTGGTGGAGCACCATGGCCTTGGGCTTAGAGGTCCTGATTCTCATCCCAGCTGCGTCACACTAGTCAGCAAAGGACCCCAGTGCATGCTGAAGGTCTATGTTCGATAAAGTCAACAAACAACATTGTCTGCGAATAACAGAGATGAGATCCTGTGGTCCCCAAACCAGACCCCCTTCAGCCAGTGGCGTGGCGCCAAATGCGTGGGCCAAAGAATGAGGGGGGAGTGGTATGTTTGGTAACCACATGGGTCCCCCATCGGGACAAAATTATAAGTGCCTTTAAGCTATATTTTTCTGATTGTCTACAGAACAAACCATTGTTATACAAAAACTTGCCTAATTACCCTAACTAAGAAATAGTCTTGTAAAACTCAGCAGTAATATCATCATTACACAGGGACTTGTTAACTTTTAAATCTTTAACAGAATATAATATATCTTTAAGAGAATTAGGTTCATCACAACAAATTGGATCATCTTTCTCTTCAAAAATCAGGTCAGTTATCAAATCTAAAAAAGAGAACATTTTAGTCTAAGGATGAAAGGACTTGATGAACTAAAACTACATTTCAATGAACAATTACTGTTAGAATAAAGTGTCCTGAAGGCATAATAAAAGAAATCACAACAACCACGTGAAAAATAAAAGCATGCCATGTCATGCTTTGTAAAAGTCTAAAAAATTCTAAAACCTTCTGCTAAAATCTAACCAGAATAAAAGATTATGTCTAAAACAATCTAAAAATATTAGAGATGAATGATTTTTTGAAGCTTAAAAAGTTAGGGTAACTCAAACCATTTGAGGAAACCAAATGCAGCAATCTATTTAAGTTCAAAAACTAATCCTAATGAGTACTAACTTAAAATAAACTATACAATAAACTATAAAATAAACTATAAAATTAAAAATGTCACTTTAAGCTGTATAGAAGTGTCTTGAAAAATATAATTTACTTTAATTTAATTGTAAAATATTATTTACTGTCATCATGGGAAAGATTAAACAAATCAGTTATTACAAATGAGTTATTAAAACTATTATGTTTAGAAATGTGTTCAAAGATCTTCTCTCCGTTAAACAGAAATTGGGGAAAAAATAAACAGGGGAGGCTAATAAATCAGGGGGGCTAATAATTCTGACTTCAACTATATAAATAAAACATTGTTTTCCACCATATTGTGCATGGTTTGAGTAATTAAATAAAATTTTAAAGAGATTAAATCATATTTAGTATACAATCAAACATAATATTATTATAATAATGCAATGTTATGTAATAATAATAGCATTACAAAATAAAATATCCATAATGGAGCAGTCCAACAGTCAAATTTATTTTAATATTTATTAAATCAAATTTTAAAAATTATAAAACATTTCCCATTGAAATGTATTAATCATTTAAAATGCAGAAAAGAAGATTGAGTGATACATATATATATATAAATATACAAATATATAGGGTGCATATCAGGACTTTGGCCCATGTTTGGAATTGCTTAAGGCCCCAAAATCACCAAATCCGCTCCTAAATATAATATATTTTTAAAGAGAAATAGAATTTAAATATCACAAGAATTTATCTTTTTTTCTATAGAAATCAGGTCAGTTAACTAATAATTATAATAACTAATAATGCTATTTATCGAATCTAAAAAAAAAAAAAAAAGACATTTAGTCTTGATTACATGTGCCCACTTCTAAAAATATTTAGAAATAGTCTTGGGGTCGTACACAATGTTACCATCAACAACCAGTTTACCCATGCTATTATAACTGGCATTAGACTTCTCTGTAACCTAAAAAGTTTGCAGTGTATTGTTTGCCCTGCTCCATCCACATCCTCACAGATCATAAATGCACCTTCAGTTTTTTTAACTTGTAACTATCATCATGTTGTTCTTGTAATGTATTGGGTAAAGCAGTTTCATCACTTCACAAGGTTTCAGAGGGACTCTGGGTTACAACAATTATTTGCCACTTCCTTGTTTGCTACTTTCGATGACGTCACAGACCACCTGACGTCTCACAATTCCACTTTAAAAACCGGCTGCTTGTCTCTGCATGTAGGATTTTGGAATACGAGGTCCTCGAAAGCAGCCGATGATCATCATGGCGATCAAAACAATCTTGTTTTTAGTGCTAATTGCACATGTACGCAGCGTCTCCTCAAAAGGTAAGCACTGTTCATTATTTTATTAGGGCATGTATAAAGTAGTAAGCATGTTAATGTCTTGCTGGTGTACATTAAAATCGTCTTCCTTACTGTTAATAAATATAAAGAGAAGTGTTTCCTCTGCCTTTCTGACCACTTTATAGGGCCGGTGTCTTGTATATTTTAGTTCTAACCCCAATTAAACACAGCTAAACCAGATAATCAACCTCCATCTGGGTACATTTGAAACTTCAGACAAGAGTGTTAAAGGAAGTTTTTTTTTTTTTTTTTTTGTTCAAAAAAACTGTTGATAATTCTAATAATAATATAATATAAGCCTATTTGTTTATAATATAGAATATGAATTACAGTGTCAATGAAAAAGATACAAGAGAAAAAAAAGAAAGAACGAAGAAGAAAAAAGAGAACATGTTATAAACTTGAGGGTAAGGCATTTAAAACTCAATTACAGTACATAATTTACAGTCATTACAAAATGACCCAATGAGCCAATATGTTTCCAAAATTGTACAGTATAATTATACTCCCAAAATAAATGAAAAACACTTTCAGTATGAAATTGACATAATGAAGATTATACATCAATATTAGAATGAAACGTGATGATTATTTAAAAGACATTTCTTTGACCTTGTTGGTGAGGAATTTTTTTGTTGCAAAGACCATATTTTTACTCATTTCAAATCTCTATATTATTTCAGTAAAAGATTACAGGGGACAATGTAACAACTTTTTCCATAAAAAGAGATCTAATTTTGTAATTTCTATCTTTTTTATTTGAATAACAAATTTTACCTGTAAACGTCTCTGTCGGATCAGAAAGGTACAATTTTTTTCTATGTTTAAATAGCATAGTAATTCCTGTTATAGCTCCCATAACAATGGCAAAAAAATGGACTTACTGGTATGCTATATGCAGAAATAAATTAAAAGTAATTCATAAAAAAATCTCTGTTGTTAAACTGTTGTTAAACCATTCACTGAAAAACAAAGATTTTAAATAAAACACTTTAAATCTAAAAACAAGGTACGGTTTCAAAATTGTATGTTTTAATCAATTATAGCCTTTTATTTTTTGATTGAATGTAGAATGAGAATGCTGATGAATGTCTATGAGGGGTGCATTTTACTGTGGGGGTGTGTTTCTCGGCACAACACCGGCACTGAAGGACTGAGTTGGGACACCCCTGCTTTATAGCAACAGCAGCAGATGCTTCTCTCTCAGCTAATTTTTCTGCCATTTCACTTTCTTTTTCTTCATACGTACTCAGAAATTTTATCCTGTCTCTCTCTTCTCGTTTTAAAGCTCCTCATCCCTTTTTATAAATAAGATAGTCAATATAAATATAAAATAAGATAAATAATATATTTATATAAAACAAAATGTATTCATAATATAAATAAGAGAAGTCAGCTTTTAAATCGTGTTCTTCCCTGTTTTGTCACACGAAGTTCATTTCTTAAAGTTTCTAGAGACAAAGAAAAGTTTGAAGCGATCTTCAATTGTCCCTTCTTATGCTTAGATTGATAAATGCTTGTATGAAGGAATGGTACTTTTACAGACTTAAGGTAGAGTTTGCGTTTTAATAACTGCACTTAGATGCTAATTTGAGGTGAAAGTAGGACTCGGAGCCTGAGGCAAATAACCTAATTGTAAACCGGATTGTCAAGATTTCGACTCGGCCCATCTGTCAACTGTTATATTGTAGTGCTAAAAGCATAGGCGTAACCTACTCAGTAAATGGTTCAATGGGGATTGGGGAATACCCTGAGCTAAAGGAGACCCTGTAAGTACAGTATATATAGAGACTGTTTTATTGCCTAATGAGTGAAAATCAAAACATTGTGGAGTCCTAACTGTGCGACAACTTATACTTAGAACAACATATTGCAATCATTTATTGGAATAAAAATAGAAGAAATTAATTTTAAATTAATTAATAGAATATACAAGGAAAAATAACAAATTTACAAATGTACCCAAGATTCCTCAACTGCATAAAGATTTAAAATACAGCGTTTAAAAGTTTCAATAGCTTTTCTATTGTTACTATTTTGTACAACAAAGATATCATTCTCAGTTTATTTTTATTTAAATAAATGTGTTTACAAATGTGATCTCATTCTAGGATGATGAAATGAATTATATAAGCTTCATTTTTTTTTATGTGGACATCAAATTTTAAATATCAAAAAAAAAAAAAAAATCCACAGGAACTTTTAAACATTTAGTTGAATAAAAGTAACATCTGGTTGAATAAAAATAACTAAATCAGAATTTGCAAGGGGTGTGAATAATTTTGGGCTTTTGTGTGTGTGTGTGTGTGTGTGTGTGTGTGTGTGTGTGTGTGTGTGTGTGTGTGTGTGTGTGTGTGTGTGTGTGTGTGTGTGTGTGTGTGTGTGTGTGTGTGTGTGTGTGTGTGTGTGTGTGTGTGTGTGTGTGTGTGTGTGTGTTTTTTAAACACTATTTTAAGGACAAAATTATTAGCCACTTTAAGCAAATTTTTTCTCTATAGTCTACAGAACAAACTATCATTATAAAATAGCTTGCCTTATTACCCTAACCTGCCTAGTTACTCTAATTAACCTAGTTAAGCCTTTAAATGTCACTTTAAGCTGTATAGAAGTGTCTTGAAAAATATCTAGTCAAATATTATTTACTGTCATCATGGCAAAGGTAAAAAGAATTCATTATTAAAAATGATTTAATAAAACTATTATGTTTCTAAATATGCTGAAAAAATCTTCTCTCCGTTGAACACAAATTGGGGAAAAAATAAACAAGTGGGCTAATAATTCTGACTTTAACTGTATACACGCATACATACATACACTACCGGTCATAAGATTGGTGTCAGTTTTTTTTTTTTTTTTTAATGTTTATTTTTTCAATAAAATTATTCTGTTTATCAAAGCGGCATTCATTAAATCTAAAGTTGTTAAATATATAAATATGTCAGATATTTATTAAAATGTTAAATAACTGCTTGCTTATTGTATGTAGTTTCAAATGAAATGATTACTCCAGGCATTATTGCTTTTATTTTAAAATTTTTAATACCATTAATGATAATAATAATAATAATAATAATAATAAAAGCTGAATATTCATCTTTAAAATTACTAAAATAAATTATTAAGTTGACATTAAGCTTAAATTGACATTTAAAGGCTTAACTAGGTTAACTAGGCAGGTTAGGGTAATTAGGCAAGTTATTGTATAATGATGGTTTGTTTTGTAGACTATCGGAAAAAAATATATAGCTTAAAGGGGCTGCTAATATTGACCTTAATGTTTTTAAATTAAAAACTGCTTTTATTCTAGCTGAAATAAAACAAATAAAACTTTTTTTCAGGAGAAAAATAAATCATCAGACATGCTGTGAACATTTCCTTGCTCTGTTAAACAGAATTTAGGAAATATAACAAATACATTTAAAAAAATCAAAGGTTGGCTAATAATTCTAAGTGTTTAGATGCAAAAATCTCTAAGTACCACCAGGAAATTTAGTCTAAATGTGAATCTTTTTCAGTCAGCTTTGTTTATGTTCTTTTTATTTCACTTTAAAAGCAAATGAAAAACTACTCATTGCCATAAACATCAAACTACTGAACCAACATACAAGAGCCTGAGAAAAAAAATACTGATTTATTCATTCATTCATTCATTCATTCATTCATTTTCTTGTCGGCTTAATCCCTTTTTTAATCCGGGGTCGCCACAGCGGAATGGACCGCAAACTTATCCAGCAAGTTTTTACGCAGCGGATGCCCTTTCAGTCGCAACCCATCTCTGGGAAAAAAGTACTGATTTTAGAAGAAAATTTTAGATGGCACTTAGAGATTCTTACATCTGAACTCTTCATATATAGTTTTATCTCAATAATGATCATTGATGCACTCTTGTTGAATGAGAAGATGACTTAACATTCATACTCAGATAGTCCTGTTTAGTGTTTCAAACACCTAAAAATCTGCACAATGAAATGCTAACACTCTGGGTGCATGAACTTTTTTAATGGAGTTGTACATTTGTGTGTTCATCTACAGGTGAGGAGAGTTTTGTTATAGAAGAAAAACGACCCACACAGCAAACACTCACAGAAGCACTGAACTCTACACTGAGTAATTTTACACTGATCCAAAAAGAGCTCAATACTTCATTGCATATCTCAGATCAGGCTGTCGAGTTCCTGAAAGGCCCGCTGGTCACCCGCTTCATGCCGTCCTTCTACATCATCATCATCCTCATCAGTTTGCCTCTGAACGCTTTGGCTTTGGTGACGTTCACCTGCAGGATCAGAGAAAAGAAACCAGCTGTGATCTACATGTCTCACCTGGCGTGTGTGGATCTGCTCTTCGCCCTGCTGCTGCCTCTGAAGATCCACTACCAGCTGAACGCTTCTGATTGGCTGTTTGGTGAGGCGGCGTGTCGTGTGCTCACTGCAGCTTATTACTGCTACATGTACTGCTCCATACTGCTGATGATGTGCATGAGTGTGGACAGACTGCTGGGCGTTGCGCTTCCCATCGCTTCGTTAACCTGGAGGAGCACAAGGAAAGCCTCATGCGTGTGTGTGCTGGTCTGGCTGCTGGCGCTCGCTGGTACTGTGCCACTGCTCTCAATGAGACAAACCTTTCTAATTAAAAATGTGGGCATGACCTGTCACGATGCGCTGGAGCAAGATTCAACAGAACAGGTTTACCTGTACCTCTTCTTCATCCTCTCCTGCCTGTATTTCTTTGTGCCGCTGGTCATCACTTTAGTGAGCTACTCCACCATCATATATGTGCTCAGTGTAAAGTCCGACCGCATTTCTTCATCTTCATCCAACAGAAACAGAGCTGTGATCATGACTGCTTCTGTGCTGACTGAGTTTGTTGTGTGTTTTGGTCCAACCAATGGCATCTTGTTGTATCACTGCATTCGTTTAGCTACTGGAATAAAAGGGGAGGGAAATTCATCATATGCTTCATACATGTTGGCTGTGTGTTTGGGGAGCGCAAGTGTTTTTCTGGACCCTCTTTTGTACTATTATGGTTCATCTCATTACAGAAAGATAATCAAGTCTGTGCTGAGAAGGAAAAAGCAGAAAAAGCAACCCCACGTAACGCAACTGTTACTAAAAACCAGCCCTGCAGTGACGTGTGAAACTTAAGGTGCCTTATTATGCTTTTGTACTCCAATATCATGCAGTGTGTACTGTAACTCATTCATTCATTTTCCTTCGGCTTAGTCCCAGATTTATCAGGGGTCGACACAGCGGAATGAACCGCCAACTACTCTGGTATATGTTTTAAGCAGAGGATACCATTCTAACTACAGAAATTGTAAATGTGTGTTCACTGAAGGCGGTGAGAACGTCAAAGTAGCTGGAAGTCATTAGCTTTCATTGGGAGCCGGCGGTGATAAGCAGGGATGAGCTGTGTGGCAGTTAAGACGGACAGCTTTGTCGCCATGGTGGCCTTCATGAAATGGTAATAATAAACATTTACAAAGCGATTTAATACTTTCGAAAGTCATGATCGCAATATATATGTCCATGCCTAATATCCGATGGCCAGAAAGTGATTTATTGTTTTATAAATTGTTAAAATTTTGGTATTTGTTATGCATCAAGCCCAGAGATTGTTGTGTACACTATGACTTTATGTAAAATTTACTTTAATGTGTGATAGGAATAAAGTGCGATCATAAACGAATGATTTCTCCACTCAAATGAGTGGCGGCTTGGACCCGGGAACAGTATTACATATGTCACAAACACGTCACAACTTAACAAGCGGATTCAACTGAATGGGGAGACTCATGAAATGGTAATAATAAACGTTTACAAAGCGATTTAAGGCTTTCGAAAATCACGATCGCAGTATATATGTCCATGCCTAATATCCGATGGCCAGAAAGTGATAAATCTTTTTATAAATTGTTAAAATTTTGGTATTTGTTAAGCAGCAAGCCCAGAGATTGTTGTGTACACTATGACTTTATATAAACTCAACTTTAATGTGTGATAGGAATAAAACGCGATCCTAAACGAATGATTTCTCAACTCAAATGAGTGGTGGCTTGGACCCGGAAACAGTATTACATACGTCACAAACACGTCACCACTTAACAAGCGGATAGTAACTCTTCAAATCAATTTATAGAGAAACTTGTGATGTGAAATGAATATAAAAAAATTCAAGTGTTTTACGTTCAACTATTGTTGCTTTTTAGACCTGTTTTTTAGTCTGATGCACAGAAGCAGCGATTCATTTATCAGTTTAATATATCTCATTATTAATTGCTGATGATGCACAAAGCATTATTGTAATTGCATGTCATTTTTAAAGCAGATGTTTACTTTCAGAAAGGTTAATGGTTCTCATGTACTGTACTGCAGTGAAATAAATTCTCATTTCTATGCTCATTTAAAGATGTCTGTTCAGTTTGTATGACTATTGCTGCCGTTGATTGTGCAAAATCAGATTATAAAATTAGGAGACACCGTTATTATAAAGACAGTGAGATCATTCGAGTACATAAGAGGACACAAAATACTATTTAAACCTCAGTAGATTTGGAAGTGAATGACACAGTTGTTAAGCAAGTTGTAAACTCTTCATTAGCTAACTCTTGTTCTTTACGCGGAGACTTGCTGAGGAAGTACAAATATATTAGATGAAGATTTACACAGTTGTTGCTTAGCAGACACAAAAGTATAGGATTTAAAATCTATTTGATATGTTCATTCATTCATTTTCTTTTCAGCTTTGTGCAGGGGTGGCCAGCCCTGTTCCTGGAGAGCCACCTTCCTGCAGATTTCAGCTGCTACCCATATCAAACACACCTGCCTGTAATTATCACGTGGTGTTCAGGTCCTAATTAATTGGTTCAGGTGTGTTCGATATCTGAAATCTGCAGGAAGGTGGCTCTCCAGCAACAGGGTTGGCCACCCCTGGCTTAGAGCCTCAATTAATCTGGGGTCACCACAGCGGAATGAACTCCCAACATGAACCGCATGTTCATGTCCACAGCGGATGCCCTTCCAGCCGCAACCTATCTCTGGTAAACATCCACACACTTATTCACACTCGTACACTACGGACAATTTTAGCCTACCCAATTCACCTGTACCACATGTCTTTGGGGGAAACAGGCGCACCCGGAGGATACCCACGCGAATGCAGGAAAAACATGCAAACTCCACACAGGATCGCCAACTGACCCAGCCGAGGCTCAAACTAGCAACCTTCTTGCTGTGAGGCAGCAGCACCTACTACGCCACTGCATCACCTTATTTAATATGAAATATTTAGAAATGTTTGTGAATATAACACGATGAATAATGACACTGTTTTGCTAATGCTGAAGTAAACACTTACTAAAATGTTTCAGTCTGTCATAAACATTTTAGCGAATCGGTTATTTTGAATCATTAGGTCCAATATTCAACAATTCACATAGTTCAAACTCTCTGCAGTTCACTCAAATCGTTTTAGTTAGGTTCAGCCTTGGAAATACATGTAGTTGAGAAATAGCTTTTAAAAGAGATCGTTTGGTGATGCTAATAGGCTTGTTTTTACAATCACTTGCTAAATAGAGTTGTTAATTTGGTTTGGATAATTCCGGATTGACTCGGTTCAACCGGTTGATCCGATTCAGTAAGAAAGATTCAAATGAACCACTGACTCATACTAGACTTCAGTCGTTGCATCCTCAGTATCTTGGGTCAGAAATACACAGCTCGCCATGGGGATTAAAACAATCTTGTCTTTGGCTGTAATTGCTCATGCATGCTCGTCCCACGGTAAGTCGTTAATTTCAATATGCTTAACTGACGTGGGCCCTTTTATCTTGCTTTTGCAGTGTATTAATTGTGGCAAAGTTGGTTTTATATTCACACACATTCATTCATTTTTGAACAGTGACAATTTGTGACACGTTGTTTTGAATATTCGGTCAGAAGTCACAAGTATGTCTTCAAAACAACATTATAGCGCTATTTGTGAAATAGACGTTGGCTGCTAATATAATTTCTCTGTTTAGAGTTTGCAAATAATCACTTTCTGAAGTCATATTAAGACGGTAAAAGTCTGAATGTGCTAATATAAAACCAACATTACCTCAATTGGGGATTATAGCTTACTATAGTGTGGCAAAAACATTTTTGTCATATTAAGACCACTTATGAAACTTCCTTTGCTTTAATTTTTATTGTACAATTTAATCTTATTTATTATTTAGTGTTTAACTGTATCAACTGAGGCATTGTAGAATTTCTAGCAATAATGTTTGAGTAAATAAAATTATGTATTATGTAATTCAAGAGATGCTGTGAACCCATTTAAGGCAATGTGTGACAAACCACATACTGTATAGCAATGACCAGGGTACAGAAGAGCTCTGCTGGCTGGGTTTTCTGTCTGTATAAACAAAGAACAAGTATAGAGCAGTGTTTACAGTACTTTTTATTTTTTTATTTAATGCTAGGCTATATATACAGCTGAAGTCAGAATTATCATCCCTTCTGAATTATTTGCAACCTTGTATATTTTTGTCTGTTTAACAGATTTTTTTAACACATTTCTAAACATAATAGCTTCAATACCTAAATAATTTCTAAAAGCTGATTTCTGTTATCTTTGCCATGATGTATGACAGTGCATAATATTTTGCTAGATATTATTTAAGATGCTAAATTTCAGCCTAAAGTGGAGTAAAGGCTGAACTGGGTTAATTTGGTTAAGGCAAGTTAGGGTAATTAGGCAAATCATTGTATAAATTATGTTTTTTTTCTTTAGACAAGTGGTTGTCAAAGTGTGGGTCACAACACAATGAAAAGGGGTTGATTGGTGATTTTAAAAAATCTCATATATTTTATTAAACTATTAGAATTATCATATTTTATCTATTATTATACTTTATTTGCGACCCCTGGAGTTATTATGCTAGATTACCATGACTAAATAAGGAGAATGATCTCCAAGTGGCTTTCCCAGAGATGGGTTGCGGCTGGAAGGGCATCCACTGCGGAAAAACTTGCTGGATAAGTTGGCAGTTCATTCCGCTGTGGCGACCCCGGATTAATAAAGGGACTAAGCCGACAAGAAAATTAATAAATGAATCTTCAAGTGGCTCCAAAATTAAAGCAAGAATAGTCTTGTGCTATAAACACTGTGGTCACTATTCTCATTAAGTGAGGTTAATATTAAATTAAACTAATGAATAACGATTATAAAAAATATGGTAAGACTGTTGTACTTTTTTGTGTTGCTAATATGCTTATATTCATATAGTTCCTATTGGTAAGTGTGCACAATTGTGTGCAATATTTGTATGCTGCTTATAACCACCTCCGAGCATAGTGGGGGTCGCGAGTCTCTGAAGTTATTTTAGGGGTCACTGGCTGAAAATTTTGAGAACCCCTGCTTTAGACAATTAAAAAAAATTGTGTTTAAGGGGGCTAATGAACTTAAAATAGTTGACAATGAGAGAGAATTGCTTTACAAAGAATTTTAGTTCGCCCCTAAAAGAAAAGACTATAGAAAGACTGAGACGCACACTTCCAATTAAATTGGAAATTTCTGTTAATTGATTAACAGTGGGGATTGGGTAACCTGCACATTCCCATGACAGTATTTGTTCAGTTAGTTGTTATACTTTTAGTCCATGCCTTATCAGAATTCCTGATGATATACATTAAATGTTTACTATCATTCATGTAGTGATTCTTTGTATTCATTTATTCGTTTTTATTTCGGCTTAGTCCCTTTATTAATCATTGTTTATAATTTAAAGTTATTTTTTAAGGCCCACAGCAACGTGACATAGTAGTGTGGTTTTCCCCACCCACCCAATTGATTGACAGTTGCCATGTTTCTATAATAACACTTATACACATGTCCATATAACTTTTGACCATGTCCATATAACTCTCTGTGATTTTAATAGGTGAAGTTTAATAGGTTTGAAACGTTTTTAAAACAGAGTATGTTTGTATGACAGTAAAGTCCCTAATCTAATTCTTAACCTTAATAATCATCACAGCCACATGGTGTCAGTAAATGTGCATATATGTTTGTGTGTGTGTGTGTGTGTGTGTGTGTGTGTGTGTACTCATCATTTCAGAAAGGCTTGAATAAACTCCACCACAAGTACATGAAATAAACTTACATGGTATTTTTGACTGAGCTCTATTTCAGCTTCATCAGTGTCTTTCTCTCTCATTGACTGCCGTTTATCATACATAACGCAGGAGAAGCAGACACACACATGGAAACGGTGGGTGCGTAAAAGCAGCTAATTTGCATTTAAAGCCATAATACAATAGCCATGGCTATTTGAGCTGAAACTTTGCAAACACATTCTGGAGACACCAAAGGCGTATCTTGCATCTTGTAAAGGGGGTAAAATAGGTGTCCTTTAATATAACCTGCACGTGGATGCCCAACTCTATTGTCCAGTGTCCTTCTGTGACAGAACCAATGAAAAATGTCTGGCAAAAGTTTGCTGTGATGATTATTGGCGATTATTAGCTAATGATCAAGGTCTAAGAAAAGTCAAGGCTATGAAATCATAATGGTCCATGCAATTTATTAATATTTTTTTTGACAGAAAGAAAAAGTTGAGATGCTTTGTACTACATGTATACCTATATGTCAACAAATGGGATGCTACTACTGGTGTGAATGCTATTATTGTT